ACTATTTGTATTGCCTTAACACAGAAGAGGCAATTAAAGAAAAAGAAAAAATCTCACGCTAGGAGTTTGACAAATCCATATCCTACCCATTCGAATAAGGGAGCACTCAGAAGTTGAACTGGCAGGTGGAGGACTGACACGGTGCATCAGCAGTTCCTTATAATGACTTTCATCCAAAATAATGTGGTATGTTCCTGTCACAGACAAAGAGATGCCTTACTATCAGGTTACGAGCCAAAAAAAAAATACAAACACATACTCCAAATGACAGAAAACAACTTTGGTAGAAAACACAATTTATCCAAACCTCTTCCTAAAAAGCAGCCCTGTTAATGCTACCCTAAATGACAAGTTTTAAAACTAGTAATAACAGAACGTTAAGTTAGATATGGAGACACAGAGCTTTTTCTTCAACATTTAACTGTAGTGACCATACTGCAAGAGTTACCACTGTAGCAATGGATATTAACATGTTACACTGATGAAGTTTCACACCACATAGCTTTATATATGGGACAAAAGGTGTGCAAATATATGTATTTTTTCTCTCTAGAGCTGCAGCTACCAGCTGCTAGTAATTTCACTTACTACTGTATATTTTGTGTATTTGGGCAACTCTTTAATTTTCTGCCAGCAAAATGGGAAATATTTATCCTTAAAAATTACAAAATGCAGCAATAAATATATAACAAATTACTTGATTTTGATTTTAAACCTGTGTTAGTAATATAATTACTGAACTTTAGATACATACCACCAGTTTCTCGGGCAAGTACTGTACAAACTCGAATTTCAGCACTTAGGCCGATGACAGATACTCTGATCTTTACTGCTTTTAAACAATTAAAATAGAGAAAAAAAAAGCACACTCAATTCATGTGCAGAACAAGAAACAGTAAAAACGTTTAAGTCTTAAATGAAAATTAATTGGTGATAACACTGCAACTGCCTGTGTTTTGTCCAGCAGCTTGGATGTTCAATGCAGTAGTGAAACTTCAGTGCTGTACCTTAATTAGATCATAGATGTTGGCTGGATCACATGTCGTCAGACTGCTGAGGACTACCAAAACCTCTCTGCTTGTATGTCCTGGCATGTGCCTAAGGAAAGTACACAGTTAATTTACTTATGCACACTAAACTATTTGTATGATCACATCTCCAAGGACCTTAGTGTGCTGAAGTCAGAAGATTACACGATACGAAGTCCTCTACAAACTGTGGTAAGATCCTTGTCAGAGCACCAGATTTTCCCCTTCTGAAAGCCAAACTTTCCAATATCTAAAATACAGTATTTAATTGGGTAGTTGTTACCTGGTTATTTCCTGTAATGAATCCTTTGTACCTTAGCCAAACTCACATGTAAAATTAATCTCCAAACTAGCACACTGTAGTAAATCTTCCTGACTTCTTAAAAAGCTCTAATCAGTTTTTAAGTGTAAATCCATTACTTCTAATTACTTGTTGAAAACTCTCTTCCTGCTAGTATTTAAATGGCTTTTCATGACACTGATTATCCGCTTTGTTCGGTCAGTATCTTTAGCTGTAATTCTTTTTCAGTTTTCCACAAACTGGGATGCATCTCAATACCTCACATTGCAAAAAAGTGCTCTGAATCTATCCTACCTGAAAATTGATCTTTCTGAAGTATGCCAAAACTCTCACAAGTTTATTGTGACACAATACTGTTTCTTTTCCTGTTCTCTTACATTATTAACCCCTAACTATGATCTCTCTCATACTGCAGCCCTTCAGTAATAAAGAACTGCAGTGTCTTTCATCACAATATCTACATACCATCATCAACTTGGTTTTCAAATTTCATTTCTGTAAGAAACACAACCCTAAATACAAGCATCTAGTGGTAGAAGATAAACTTCTGCACTACTGGAGTATTTAACTTAATGATTTGTACTGTAAGAGGAGAGTTGCCTTTTAAAGACTCAAGTCAGCATGATGCAAGGTGCTACTTAGAAAAAATTCTGTCTCTGCCTCTCAAAAGCCACAATCACAAAGAAAACAAAAAAACCTCCTTGTATATACTAACTTTAAAGTCTGCATGGCCAAATTTAGGGAATTATATAGAGAAGGCTCTCCACTGCAGTTCATATCCACTGCTTTCTTCAGAGCAGTTACGTGCTTTTTTGAGTTTCCTGTAAGTGAAAAAATGAAATCAATTTAACTGATACAACAAGTTAAAGAACAGAAATGTTTGAAGTGCATATGTAATTAAGTGTACTTGTACAACAGGAACTGGTTTCAGAGGCAGGTCTGTATTTTTCCTTAGAAATTGGTATTTTGATCAGAATGCAGAAAAGAGTAAAAAAGACTTTCACTCCATAGGCACTCAGATGCTAGAAAGTTTAGAAGCCAAAAAGAGTAAAATCACTGTTGGGTATCATTAAGCACTCAACATGAGCGTGACATCTCCCACAAACAGAAAGAGAGTTTTGTTTCCTCTGTTATCCTCAAAGCATGGTTCAAAGATTGGCTGACCCCCAATTTCCCCCATGAAACCTGCTGAAGCCATAGAGACTGGCCTAACAGCAGGCAGGAACCAAACAAACCTTGACTTCTTAACATCTGATCAGATCTCACAAAAACCACAGATGTTGTAACGTACAAAATTAACAAACAGGGTAGAAAATTAACTATAGGGAAACCAGAACATATCAAACTTGCATTCTGGTTGAAACTTGATCACAAACAAGCACACAACGACGATTCTGGATCAAAGCAGATCAGAATGTAGATTATGGTTTCAAACAACTTGCAATAATTTATCTTTCAAATCAAAACTAATTATGATAACATCACTTCATTTTCAGCACTGTATCAGGCACAGCTTAGAACACCAAGGAAAAGGACAATAACATCTGCAATTTAAGAAAAGAATACTACTTCCTTACCTGAGAGTTCTGTCATTTTTTCAGCTCTTTTACTCTTGGTTACAATTAAGCCAATCTGAAACAGGGAAAAAAAAGACCAAACTTTTCTTAGAAAGTTTTACAGTGAGTTTATTTAGAATTTTACTGTATTTTTTTACGTCTTTATGGACCAGAACTGTTTAATCATACAAGGCTATAATAAAAGTTTTACTTCAAGTGTAACAACAGCAGCACAACTTGATGCATTAATTTATAAACACTCCCATACTTTCATTACTTTTGCCAAAAAGTACAAAAAGAAATCTTCTAAAACTTAAATTGTAGAAACAGGCAGAAACAAGAATTCACTAGACTGACGAATAAAGGATGGGAAGGTATGCATAAATTGAAAACAGTTTACTTGGTAGTGTTATAACCAAAACTACCTTTTCAAATAGTTTTCTGCTATTTGTTTCTTGCACGGTCGTACATACCTGACTAATAGGATTCTGGTCAAAGTACTCTTCAACAAAATATTCCAATAACTATAAAGAAAAGTTAAGGCAGTTAAAAACTAATTATACTTTTATTACACACATGCATTAAGTAGATGCAAAACACCTACTAAACTAAAAAAGCAAAACAAAGTAGTTGAGTAACACAAAAAGGGGGAGCGAGCCTTTTCTTTCCATTCCAGTGTTTCCATACTGGTCCGTACTAGTCCGTACTGGTCCGTACTGGTTTATACTGGTCCATACTGCTTTCTATGGATTTTATTGGATCTTATGGTGTTTTTTGGTCCACACTGGTCGATAATGGTTTATACTGGACCACACTGGTCCCTACTGGTCCGTACTGGTCCCTACTGGTCCGTACTGGTCCGTACTGGTCCACACTGGTCCCTACTGGTCCACACTGGTCCGTACTGGTCCCTACTGGTCCGTACTGGTCCACACTGGTCCCTACTGGTCCGTACTGGTCCCTACTGGTCCGTACTGGTCCGTACTGGTCCACACTGGTCCCTACTGGTCCGTACTGGTCCCTACTGGTCCGTACTGGTCCGTACTGGTCCACACTGGTCCGTACTGGTCCGTACTGGTCCCTACTGGTCCCCACTCGTCCAAACTGGTCCGTACTGGTCCCTACTGGTCCGTACTGGTCCCTACTGGTCCACACTCGTCCAAACTGGTCCGTACTGGTCCCTACTGGTCCGTACTGGTCCCTACTGGTCCCTACTGGTCCACACTGGTCCACAGTGGTCCACACTGGTCCGTACTGGTCCCTACTGGTCCCTACTGGTCCGTACTGGTCCGTACTGGTTCCAGGTTCATCGAGGATTCCCAGCTCGGTTTCGTCTCCCCGGGGTCTCTCCGGGGACTCCGGGGGCTCCAATTCCTGTGAGTGTCCCCACATGTCCCCAACGCTCTCACTGTCCCTAAATCCCCTCAATGTCCCCAAATGTCCCCTCACTGTCCCCACTGTCCCCAATGTCCCCAAATGTCCCCTCACTGTCCCCAAATGTCCCCTCACTGTCCCCACTGTCCCCAATGTCCCCAAATGTCCCCTCACTGTCCCCAATGTCCCCTCACTGTCCCCACTGTCCCCAATGTCCCCAAATGTCCCCTCACTGTCCCCAATGTCCCCAAATGTCCCCTCACTGTCCCCAATGTCCCCTCACTGTCCCCACTGTCCCCGTTTGTGTCCCCGCAAGAGTTTGGCCAACAACAACCTGGAGACTCTGCCCAGAGAGCTCCTGAGGGACATTGGGACACTGAGACACCTGTGGGTGACACCTGTGGGTGACACCTGTGGGTGACACCTGTGGGTGACACTGGGGACACTGAGACACCTGTGCGTGACACTGGGGACACTGGGGACACTGAGACACCTGTGGGTGACACTGGGGACACTGAGACACCTGTGGGTGACACCTGTGGGTGACATTGGGGACATTGGGGACATTGGGAGGATTTGGGGACACTTTGGGGACACTGGGGGGGGTTGTGGACACCTTGGGGACACTGGGGTGGATGGAGGGTCCGTGCCAGTGTTTTGTCCCTTTTTTGTCCCCTCGGTGCCACCTGGTGCCACTTTCCGTTCCTCGGGTGCCACCCCGGTGTCCCCAAGCGCCGCTCGATGGCCCCGGTGGCGCTCAGGCGCCATTTTGTGTCACTCGGTGCCACCTCGGTGCCACTTTGGGGCCTCTCGGTGTCACCTCTGGTGCCATTTTTGTCACTTTGGTGCCACTTTGGTGCCATTTAATGCCACTTTTTGCTAATTAAATGCCACTTTGGTGCCATTTGATGCCAGTTTTGTCACTTTAGTGCCACCTGGTGCCACTTAGTGCCACTTGGGTGCCACCTGGTGCTATTTAGTGCCTATTTTTGTCACTTTAGTGCCAGTGCAGTACCATTTTTGCCACTTCGGTGCCACTTTTGTCACTTTGGTGCCACTTTGGTGCCACTCGATGTCCCTTTGGTGCCACCTGGTGCCATTTTTTGCCACTTTTTGCCACTTTGGTGCCACTTAGCGCCACCTGGCACCGCCTGGTGACACTTTGGTGCCATCTGGTGCCACTTTTTACCACTTTAATGCCATTTAGTGCCACTCTGGTGCCATCTAGTACCACTTAGTGCCATGTAGTGCCACCTGGTGCCACTTGATGTCCCTTTAGTGCCACTTCGGTGCCATTTGGTGCCACCTGGTGCCACTTGGTGTCCCTTTAGTGCCATTTGATGTCACTCTGGAGCCATTTAGTGCCACTTTTTGCTAATTTAATGCCATTTAGTGCCACTTTGGTGCCACTCTAGTGCCATTTAGTGACACCTGGTGCCACCTGGCGCTGCTTAGTGCCACTTTGGTGCCACTTTTTACCCCTTTAATGCCATTTTTTGCCACTTTGGTGCCATTTAGTGCCACTCTGATGCCATGCAGTGACACCTGGCACGCCTGGCACCCCCTGGCACCCTTTGGTGCCACTTTGGTGCCATTTGATGCCACTTTTTACCACTCTAATGCCACTTAGTGCCACTCTGGAACCATCTGATGCCCCTTGGTGCCACTTGATGTCCCCGTAGTGCCAATTCAATGCCAATTAGTGCCAATGTAGTGCCACCGGATGCCACTTTTTGTCACTTTGGTGCCATCTGATGCCACCGGGTGCCACTCTAGTGCCATTTAGTGCCACCTGGAGCCATTTTTTATCCCTTTAGTGCCACCGGGTGCCATTTGGTGCCACTTTTTGTCATTTTAGTGCCACTTGGTGCCACTTGATGTCCCTTTAGTGCCACTCTAGTGCCATTCGGTGCCACCTGGTGCCGCTTCGATGCCATTCAGTGCCATTTTTGGTCACTTTGGTGTCATTTGGTGCCCCCGGGTGCCATTTAATGCCACCTGGTGCCACTTTGGTGCCCTTTAGTGCCACTCTAATACCATGTGGTGACACCTGGGGCCACTTTGATGCCACCTGGCACCACCTGGTGACACTTAGTGCCACGTTAATGCCATTTTTTGCCACTTTGGTGACACCTGGTGCCACTCTAGTGCCACCTTTTGTCACTTTGATGCCATTTGATGCCATTTGGTGCCGCTTTTTGCCAATTCAATGTCACTTTGGTGCCACTTTGGTGCCATTTGGTGCCACTTTAACACCACTCAGTGCCACCTGGCACCCCCTGGCACCCTTTGGTGCCACTTTGGTGCCACTTTTTGCCACTTTAGTGCCACTCTAGTGTCATTTTTGCCACTTTAATGCCATTTGGAGCCACCTGGTGCCACTCAATGTCCCTTTAGTGCCATTTTTTGTCTCTGTGATGCCACTTTGGTGCCATTTAGTGCCACTTGGTGCCACTTTAATCCACTTTGGTGCCACCTGGCACCACCTGGCACCACCTGGCACCCCTTGGCACCCCTTTGATGCCACTTTAGTGCCACTTTTTACCACTTTAATGCCATTTAGTGCCACTTTGGTGCCACTTAGTGCCCCTCTGATGCCATTTAGTGACACCTGGCACACCTGGCGCCCCCTGGCGACACTTTGGTGCCACTTTGGTGACATTTGGTGCCTTTTAGTGCCACCTTTTGTCACTTTGATGCCACCTGGTGCAACTTCATGTCCCTCTAGTGCCACCTGGTGCCACTCAGGGCCACCTTTTGTCACTTTGGTGCCACCTGGCACCACCTGGTGACATTTTGGTGCCATTTAGGGTCACTTTGAGGCCAATTTTTGTCACTTAGTGCCACTCTGGTGCCATTTAGTGCCACTTTGGTGCCATTTTTTGTCACTTTTTTGCCACTTTGGTGCCATTTGGTGCCACCTGGTGCCACTTAGGGCCCCTTTAGTGCCATTTTTTGCCACTTTAGTGTCACTTAGTGCCACCTGGCACCCCCTGGCACCCCTTGGCGACACTTTGGTGCCCTTTGGGGTCATTTGGTGCCATTTTTTGCCACTTAAATGCCATTTAGTGCCACTTTGGTGCCACTTAGTGCCACTCTAATGCCACGTAGTGCCACCTGGCACCCTTTGGTGACATTTAATGACACTTTGGTGCCACTTTGGTGCCATTTGATGCCACTTAGGGCCCCTTTAGTGCCGTTTTTTGCCACTTTGGTGCCACCTAGCGACACCTGGCACCCCTGGCACCCCTTTGGTGCCACTTTGGTGCCATTTGGTGCCATTTCTGTCGCAGTGACCTCCGGGGGAACGCCCTGCGCTGGCTCCTGGCCTGGGGCCGCGCCCGCCCCTCCCCCCCAGGGGGCCGCTGCCGAGCGCCCCTCCCCCACCTGGGCGTGGCCCTGGCGCAGCTCCGCCCCCAGCAGCTCCAGTGCCAGAGGCACGGTAACTGGGATGGACTGGGAGGGACTGGGGGAGAAAATCCGGGGGTTTTAGGGTTAAAAATGGGGATTTTAGGGGGGAAAATGGGGATTTAAGGGTTAAAAATGGGGATTTTTAGGGAGAAAATGGGACTGGGTTATACTGGGATGAACTGGGACAAACTGGGAGGGACTGAGAGGGACTGGGGGATGAAAATTTGGTGGTTTTAGGTAAAAATTTGGGGATTTAAGGGTTAAAAATTGGAATTTTAGGGGTGGAAATGGGACTGGGAGGGGACTGGGTTATACTGGGATGGACTGGGATGTACTGGGAGGGACTGGGAGGGACTAAAGGGAAAAAATCCGGGGATTTCTGGAAAAAAATGGGGATTTAAGGGTTAAAATGGGACTGGGTTATACTGGGATGGACTGGGAAGGAACTGGAAGGGACTGGGGGGAGAAAATCTGGAGGTTTTAGGTAAAAATTTGGGGATTTAGGGGTTAATAATGGGGATTTAAGGATTAAAAATCGGGGGTTTTAGAGGGGAAAATGGGACTGGGTTATACTGGGACGGACTGGGACGGACTGGGGGGGACTGAAGGGAAAATATCCGGGGGTTTTAGGGTTAAAAATGGGGATTTTAGGGGGGAAAATGGGGATTTAAGGGTTAAAAATGGGGATTTAGGGGTTAAAAATGGGACTGGGACAAACTGGGAGGGACTGGGAGGTGAAAATTTGGTGGTTTTAGGTCAAAAAGGGATTTAAGGGTTAAAAATGGGGACTTAAGGGTTAAAATGGGGGGATATGAGGGGTGGAAATGGGACTGGTTGCACTGGTTTGTACTGGGTTATACTGGGAGGGAACTGGGACAAACTGGGAGGGACTGGGAGGGAAAAAATCCGGGGACTTAAGGGTTGAAAATGGGAATTTCAGGGTTAAAAATGGGGATTTAGGGGTTAAAATGGGACTGGTTGGTACTGGGAGGGGCTGGGACAAACTGGGAGGCAACTGGGATGTACTGGTTTGTACTGGGGGGAGAAAATTTGGTGGTTTTAGGTCAAAAAAAGGGGATTTGAGGGGTGGAAATGGGGATTGAAGGGTTAAAAATGGGACTGGGTTGTGCTGGGAGTGTCCCCAAGCTGTCCCCGTGTCCCCAATGTCCCCAGCAATGTCCCCAGCCTGTCCCCAATGTCCCTGGGGCTCTCCCTGGGGCTGTCCCCGTGTCCCCGGCGATGTCCCCAAGTTGTCCCTGGCTGTGTCCCCAATGTCCCCAAGCTGTCCCCAATGTCCCCAGCAATGTCCCCAGCCTGTCCCCAGTGTCCCTGGGGCTCTCCCTGGGGCTGTCCCCGTGTCCCCGGCGATGTCCCCAAGCTGTCCCTGGCTGTGTCCCCAATGTCCCCAAGCTGTCCCCAATGTCCCCAGCAATGTCCCCAGCCTGTCCCCAGTGTCCCTGGGGCTCTCCCTGGGGCTGTCCCCGTGTCCCCGGCGATGTCCCCAAGCTGTCTCTGTGTCCCCGGGCTGTCCCTGGCTGTGTCCCCGTGTCCCTGGGGTGTCCCTGGCTGTGTCCCCAATGTCCCCAAGCTCTCCCTGGGTCTGTCCCCGTGTCTCTGGGACTGTCCCTGCATGTGTCCCCAATGTCCCCAAGGTGTCCCCAATGTCCCCAAGCTGTCCCTGGCTGTGTCCTCAATGTCCCCAAGCTGTCTCTGACTGTGTCCTTCTGTCCCTTGGGTGTCCCTGGCTGTGTCCTCGTGTCCCTGGGTGTGTCCCCAACGTCCCCAAGGCTGTCCCCAATGTCCCCAAGGTGTCCCTGGGTCTGTCCCTACAACTGTCCCCAGTGTCCCTGGGGGTGTCCCTGTGTCTCTGGCAATGTCCCCAAGCTGTCCCTGGCTGTGCCCCCAATGTCTCTGGGGCTGTCCCCAAGCTGTCCCCGTGTCCCCAGTGATGTCCCCAAGCTGTCCCCAAGTTGTCCCTGGCTTTGTCCCCGTGTCCCTGGTGGTGTCGCTAAGCTGTCCCCAATGTCCCCAATGTCCCCAAGCTGTCTCTGTGTCCTTGGGTCCATCCCCCTGTCCCCAGTGTCCCCAAGCTGTCTCTGGCTGTGTCCCCGTGTCCCTGGGAGTGTCCCTGGCTGTGTCCCCAATGTCCCCAAGCTGTTCCTGGGTCTGTCCCTAGAACTGTCCCCAATGTCCCCAAGCTGTCCCTGGGTCTGTCCCCAGTGTGTCCCTGCATGTGTCCTCAGTGTCCCCAAGCTGTCCCTGGGCTGTCCCCAAGCTGTCCCCAATGTCCCTGTGTCCATTCCTCTGTCCCCAGCAATGTCCCCAAGCTGTCCCTGTGTCTCTGGCTGTGTCCCCAGTGTCCCCAAGCTGTCCCTGGCTGTGTCCCCAATGTCCCCAAGGTGTCCCTGGGTCTGTCCCTAGAACTGTGCCCAGTGTCCCTGAGGGTGTCCCTGTGTCCCTGGCAATGTCTCCAATGTCCCCAATGTCCCTGTGTCCCTGGGGCTGTCCCTGGCAATGTCCCCAATGTCCCCAAACTGTCCCCATGTCCCCGGGTTGTCCCCAGCAATGTCCCCAAGCTGTCCCTGGCTGTGTCCTTGTGTCCCTGGGGCTGTCCCCAAGCTGTCCCCAATGTCCCCAAGCTGCACCTGTGTCCCTGTGTCCCTGGGGCTGTCCCCAATGTCCCCAAACTGTCCCTGTGTCCCTGGGGCTGTCCCCAAGCTGTCCCTGGCTGTGTCCCCTTGTCCCTGCGAGTGTCCCTAGGCTGTCCCCAATGTCCCCAGTGATGTCCCCGGTGTCCCCAAGCTGTCCCTGTGTCCCTGGCTGTGTCCCCAATGTCCCCAAGGTGTCCCCAATGTCCCCATTTTGTGTCCCCAGAGCTGCGGCCGTTCCAGTCTCTCAAGAATCCCAAATTTCCCCAGATTTCCCCATTTTTACCCAAATTTTGTGGTTTTTCCCCCAGAACTGCGTCCATTCCAGACTTTGCCGTTCTCGTCCCTCGGCGCTGCCTCCGTGTCCCCAATGTCCCCAATGTCCCCATTTTGTGTCCCCAGAGCTGCGACTGTTCCAGTCTCTCAAGAATCCCAAATTTCCCCAAATTTCCCCATTTTTACCCAAACTTTCCCATTTTTGACCAAATTTCCCGTTTTTTCCCCATTTTAAACCAAATTTTCTGATTTTTGTCCCCATTTTGTGTCCCCAGAGCAGCGACCGTTCCAGCCTCTCAAGAATCCCAAATTTCCCCAAATTTTCCCATTTTTAACCAGATTTTCCCATTTTTCTCCCCATTTTCTGTCCCCAGAGCTGTGACTGTTCCAGCTTCTCAAAAATCCAAAATTTCCCCAAATTTCCCCAAATTTTCCCATTTTTTTCCCCCATGTTGTGTCCCCAGAACTGCGGCCGTTCCAGTCTCTAAGGAATCCAAAATTTCCCCAAATTTTCCCATTTTTAACCATTTTTTGGTGTGAAAAACTCCAAATTTTCCAATTTTTGTTTCCCACTTTCTGTCCCCATTTTGTGTCCCCAGAGCTGCGGCCGTTCCAGCCTCTCAGGAATCCCAAATTTTCCCCTTTTTAACCAGATTTTGGTGTGAAAAACTCCAAATTTCCCCATTTTTAACCAAATTTCCCCATTTTTGTCCCCATTTTCTGCCCCCAGGGCTGCGGCCGTTCCGGTCTCCCAAGAATCCCAAATTTCCCCAAATTTTCCCATTTTTACCCAAATTTCCCGTTTTTTCCCCCAGAGCTGCGTCCGTTCCAGACGCTGCCGTTCTCGTCCCTGGGCGCCGCCCCCGCGTCCCTCGGGGGCCACCCCTGGGTGTTCGTGGCGCAGCCGGAGCTCGGCGCCAGCTCGGGGGCAGTTCCGGGCACAGAGCGTCGTCAACGGTGAGAGAAATGGGGGGAAAAACCGGGAAATTGGGAAAAATGGGGAAAACGGGGAATTTGGGGAAAAAACGGGGAAAAAATCAACAAAAAAATGGGGAAAAAATGGAGAAATAATGGGGAGAACAAAGGAAAAATGAGGGGGAGGTTCCGGGCTCAGAGCGTGGTCAATGGTGGGAGAAATTGGGGAAAAAAATGGGGAAATTGGGAAAAACGGTTAAAAAATGAAAATTGGGGAAAAAATGGGGACAAAATGAGAAAAAACGGGAGGAAAACGGGGGAAAGCAAAGGGAAAATGAGGGAGAAATGAGGGGGAGGTTCTGGGCACAGAGCGTGGTGAACGGTGAGAGAAATTAGGGGGAAAAACGGGGAAATTGGGAAAAATGGGAAAAATGGTGAAGAAATGGCAAAAATTGGGAAAAAAACGGGGAAAAAATGGGGGGAAATCAGGGAGAATAGGGGGAAAATGAGGGGCAGGTTCCAGGCTCAGAGCGTCATCAATGGTGAGAGAAATTGGGGGGAAAAACGGGGAAATTGGGAAAAAATGGAAAAAATGGTGAAGAAATGGCAAAAATTGGGAAAAAAACGGGGAAAAAATGGGGTAAAGCAAAGGAAAAAATTGGGAAAAAATGGGGAAAAAATGGTAAAAAATGGGGTAAAATGGGGAAAAATAAAGGGAAAATGAAGGGGAAGTTCCGGGCACAGAGCGTGGTCAACGGTGAGAGAAATCGGGGAAAAAAATGGGGAAATTGGGAAAAAATGAAAAAAATTTAAAACTGGGGGAAAATGGGGAAAAAACCAGAGAAAAATTGGGAAAAACAAAGAAAAATGGGGGAGAATGAGGGAAAAATGAGGGGGAGGTTCTGGGTGCTCATCATTATAACAGTGAGAGAAATGGGGGAAAATGGGGAAAATGGGAAAAAATTGGGGGAAAAATGGGGAAAACCAGGGGGAAAATGGGAGAGAAATGGAAAAGAAAGGGGGAAATGGGAAAAAGACCAAAGGAAAATTGAAAAAATGGGGGGAAAGGGAGAGGAATGGAGAAAAATAATTTAAAAATGGGGGGAAATGGGGAAAAGTGCTGGGAAATGGGGAAAAGCAGCAGGGAAGGAATGGTGGGAACCGGGCTGAGGGACAGCAAGGGCCCCGAGGTCACCGGTGTCCCCAACATCTCCAATGTCCCCAGTGTCCCATCACCCCAACATCTCCAGGGTCCCCAACATCTCCAATGTCCCCAGTGTCCCATCACCCCAACATCTCCAGGGTCCCCAACATCTCCAATGTCCCCAGTGTCCCATCACCCCAACATCTCCAATGTCCCCAAGGTCCCCATCACCCCAACATCTCCAGGGTCCCCAAGGTCCCCATCACCCCAACATCTCCAATGTCCAAACATCTCCAATGTCCCCAAGGTCCCCATCACCCCAACATCTCCAATGTCCAAACATCTCCAATGTCCAAACATCTCCAATGTCCCCAAGGTCGCCATCACCCCAACATCTCCAATGTCCCCAAGGTCCCCATCACCCCAACATCTCCAATGTCCCCAGTGTCCCATCACCCCAACATCTCCGATCTCCCCAAGGTCCCCATCACCCCAACATCTCCAATGTCCCCAGTGTCCCATCACCCCAACATCTCCAATGTCCCCAAGGTCCCCATCACCCCAACATCTCCAATGTCCAAACATCTCCAATGTCCCCAAGGTCGCCATCACCCCAACATCTCCAGGGTCCCCAAGGTCCCCATCACCCCAACATCTCCAATGTCCAAACATCTCCAATGTCCCCAAGGTCGCCATCACCCCAACATCTCCGATGTCCCCAAGGTCGCCATCACCCCAACATCTCCAATGTCCCCAATGTGCCCAACAACCTCCATATTCCCAAAGTCCCCAAGGTCCCCAATGTCCCAAGGTCTCCAATGTCCCCAGTGTCCCCAAGGTCCTCAGTGCCCCCAATGTCCCCAAGGTCTCAAAGGTCCTCAACCTCTCCAGTGCCTCCAAGGTCCCCAAGTCCCCAAGGTCCCCAATGTCCCCAAGCTCTCCAAGGTCCCTACTGTCCCCAAGGTCCCCAAGGCCCCATCACCCCAACATCTCCAATGTCCCCAAGGTCCCAAAGGTCCCCAACGTCTCCAATGTCCCCAAGCTCCCCAATATCCCCAGTGCCCCCAGTGTCTCCAGGGTTCCAAAGGTCCCCAACGTCTCCAATGTCTCCAAGGTCCCAAGATCTCCAACATCTCCAATGTCCCCAATGTCCCCATCACCCCAACATGTCCAATATCCCCAAGGTCTCTAAGGTCCCCAACATCTCCAAGGTCCCCAAACTTCACAAGGTCCGCATCAGCCCAACATCTCCAATGTGCCCAACATCTCCAATGTCCCCAGGGTTCCAAGGTCTGCAACATCTCCAACATCTCCAACGTCCCCGCTGTCCCCTCCGGGCTCGTCCCCGGCGTCCTGCCACCCCGTGGTGGTGGCCGACACGCCGCTCCTGGTGGTGGCCCAGCCGCGCGGCGGCTCCTGGGTGCGGCGCCGCTCGGGCTCCTCCTTCGTGCGCCGCCAGTCCCTGGGCCAGGGCCGCCTGCGCCGTCCCCATGCCGTCACCTCCGCCCGCCTGGGCGGCTGCCTCTACCTGGGCGTGGCCGACGGCTCCAAGGGCGGCGTCTCCGCCGTGTTCCGCCGGGCTTCCGGAGCCTTCTACCCGGCGCAGGCGCCGCGGCCGTGGCGGCGCGACACGCGCCTGGAGTTCCTGGAGCTGGGCGGCCGCGCGGCGCGGGTGGCCCGCGGCGCCGCCAGGAGGCCCCGGGCGTTCCTGCGGGGCGCCGGCGGCTTCGCGCCGCACGCGGACGTCCCGCACGCGCCCGACGTCTACGCGGCCGAGCGCTTCGGCGTGGAGGGCGGCGTGTTCCCGTGTCTCGCCCGGTTCCTGGGGGACGCCGAGGTGAGGAACGGGGTGGGTGGTGGAGGTGGTGGTTTGGGGGTTCATTGAGGTTGTGGGGGTCCATCGGGGTTATGGGGTTCCATCAGGGTCATGGGGTTATGGGGGTCCATCATGGTTATGGGGTTATGGAGTTCCATCAGGGTCATGGCGTCCATCACGGTTATGAGGTTATGGGGGTCCATCAAGGTCATGGAGTGATGTGGTTATGGGGGCTGATCAAGGTCATGGGGTTATGGGGGTCCATCAGGCTCATGGGGGTCCATCAGAGTCATGGGGGTCCATCAAGGTCATGGTGGGTCAGCAGGATCATGGGGTTATGGAGGTCCATCATGGTCATGTGGTTATGGGGGTCCATCAGGGTCATGGAGTGATGTGGTTATGGGGGCTGATCAAGGTCATGGGGTTATGGGGTTCCATCAGGGTCATGGGGTTATGTGGTGGTGGAGGTCGATCAAGGTAATGGAGTCATGGGGTTATGGGGTTCCATCAAGGCCATGGAGTTATGGGGTCCATCATGGTCATGTGGTTATGGGGCTCCATCAGGGTCGTGGGGATCCATCAAGGTCCTTGGGGTCCATCAAGGTCATGCTGTTATGGAGGTCCATCAAGGTCATGTTAGGTCAGCAGGGTCATGGAGTTATGGGGGTCCATCATCGTTATGGGGTTATGAGGGTCCATCATGGTTATGTGGTTATGGGGTTCCATCAGGGTCATGGGGTTATGGGGGTCCATCAGGGTCATGAGGTTATGGGCGTCCATCAGGGTCATGGGGTGATGTGGTTATGGAGGTCGATCAAGGTCATGGAGTCATGAGGGTATGGTATTCCATCAAGTTCATGAGGTCATAAGGTTATGGGGTTCCATCATGGTTATGGGGTTATGGGGTTCCATCAAGGTTATGGGATTATGGGGTCCATCAGGATCATGGGATCATGGAGTTCCGTCACGGTCATGAGGCCATGTAGTTATGGAGGTCCATCAAGACCATGGGGGGTAACCACGGTCATGGGGTTATGGGTTCCATCAAGGCCATGTGGTTATGGGGGTCCATCAAGGTCATGGGGTTATGGGGGTCCATCAAGGCTATGGGGTTATGGGGTTCCATCAGGGTCATGGGGGTCCATCAAGGTCCTTGGGGTCCATCAAGGTCATGCTGTTATGGAGATCCATCAGGGTCATGGGGTTATGGAGGTCCATCAAGGTCATGTTGGGTCAGCAGGGTCATGGAGTTATGGAGTTCCATGAGGGTCATGGGGTTATGGAGGTCCATCATGGTTATGGTTATGGGGTTATGGGGGTCCATCAGGGTCATGGGGTCATGTGGTTATGGGGTCCATTATGGTCATGAGGTCATGTGGTTATGGGGTTCTATCAAGGTCATGGGTCCATGGAGATCCATCAAGGTCATGTGGTCATGGGGGGTAACCAGGGTCATGGAGTTACGGGGTCCATCAGGGTCATGTGGTTATGGGGGTCCATCAAGGTTATGGGATCATGGGGTTATGGAGGTCCATCACGGTCATGGGTTCGTGGGGTTCCATCAGGGTTATGGGGCCATGTGGTTATGGGGGTCCATCAGGGTCATGGAGGTCCATCAAGGTCATGTTAGGTCATCAGGGTCATGGGGTTATGGAGTTCCATCATGGTCATGGAGTTATGGGGTTCCATCAGGGTCATGGGGTTATGGAGTTCCATCATGGTCATGGAGTTATGGGGTTCCATCAGGGTCATGGGGTTATGGAGTTCCATCATGGTCATGGAGTTATGGGGTTCCATCAGGGTCATGGGGTTATGGAGTTCCATCATGGTCATGGAGTTATGGGGCTCCATCAGGGTCATGGGGTTATGGAGTTCCATCATGGTCATGGAGTTATGGGGTTCCATCAGGGTCATGGGGTTATGGAGTTCCATCATGGTCATGGAGTTATGGGGTTCCATCATCGTTATGGGGTTATGAGGGTCCATCATGGTTATGTGGTTATGGGGTTCCATCAGGGTCATGGGGTTATGGGGGTCCATCAGGGTCATGAGGTTATGGGCGTCCATCAGGGTCATGGGGTGATGTGGTTATGGAGGTCGATCAAGGTCATGGAGTCATGAGGGTATGGTATTCCATCAAGTTCATGAGGTCATGAGGTTATGGGGTTCCATCATGGTTATGGGGTTATGGGGTTCCATCAAGGTTATGGGATTATGGGGTCCATCAGGATCATGGGATCATGGAGTTCCGTCACGGTCATGAGGCCATGTAGTTATGGAGGTCCATCAAGACCATGGGGGGTAACCACGGTCATGGGGTTATGGGTTCCATCAAGGCCATGTGGTTATGGGGGTCCATCAAGGTCATGGGGTTATGGGGGTCCATCAAGGCTATGGGGTTATGGGGTTCCATCAGGGTCATGGGGGTCCATCAAGGTCCTTGGGGTCCATCAAGGTCATGCTGTTATGGAGATCCATCAGGGTCATGGGGTTATGGAGGTCCATCAAGGTCATGTTGGGTCAGCAGGGTCATGGAGTTATGGAGTTCCATGAGGGTCATGGGGTTATGGAGGTCCATCATGGTTATGGTTATGGGGTTATGGGGGTCCATCAGGGTCATGGGGTCATGTGGTTATGGGGTCTATTATGGTCATGAGGTCATGTGGTTATGGGGTTCTATCAAGGTCATGGAGTCATGAGGTTATGGGGTTCCATAAAGGCCATGTGGTTATGGGGTTCCATCAGGGTTATGGGGTCATGTGGTTATGGGGGTCCACCAGGGTCATGGAGTTATGGGGTTCCATCAGGGTCATGGGGTTATGGAGTTCCATCATGGTCATGGAGTTATGGGGTTCCATCAGGGTCATGGGGTTATGGAGTTCCATCATGGTCATGGAGTTATGGGGTTCCATCAGGGTCATGGGGTTATGGAGTTCCATCATGGTCATGGAGTTATGGGGTTCCATCAGGGTCATGGGGTTATGGAGTTCCATCATGGTCATGTGGTTATGGGGTTCCATCAGGGTCATGGGGTTATGGAGTTCCATCATGGTCATGGAGTTATGGGGTTCCATCAGGGTCATGGGGTTATGGAGTTCCATCATGGTCATGGAGTTATGGGGTTCCATCAGGGTCATGGGGTTATGCGGTTCCATCATGGTTATGTGGTTATGGGGGTCCATCAGGCTCAAGGGGTTATGGGGTTCCATCAAAGTCATGGGGTCATGGGGTTCCATCAGGGTCATGGGGTTATGGGGGTCCATCATGGTCATGGGGTTATGGAGGTCTAACAGGGTCATGTGGTTATGGGGGTCCATCAGGGTTATGGGGTTATGGAGGTACATCAAGGTTATGAGGTTATGGGGTTCCATCAAGGTCATGGAGTCATGAGGTTATGGGGTTCCATAAAGGCCATGTGGTTATGGGGTTCCATCAGGGTTATGGGGTCATGTGGTTATGGGGGTCCACCAGGGTCATGGGGTTATGGAGGTCCATCAGGGTCATGGTGGGTCAGCAGGGTCATGGAGTTATGGGGTTCATCAAGGTCATGTGGTTATGGGGGTCCATCAAGATCATTGTGGGTCAGCAGGATCATGTGGCTATGGGGGTCCATCAGGGTTATGTGGTTATGGGGGTCCATCAGGGTTATGTGGTTATGGGCGTCCATCAAGGCCATGTGGTCATGGAAGGTCAGCAGGGTCATGTGGTTATGGGAGTCCATCATGGTTATGGGATTTTGGGGTGCCATCATGGTCATGGAGTTCCATCAAGGTCATGCGGTCATGGGGTTCCATTAAGATCATGTGGTCAAGGGGGGTCACCAGGCTCATGTGGGACCACCATGGTCATGATGGTCACCACATGGCCACGGGGGCCAACTGGGGTCACATGAGCCACCTCTGACCCCCTGACCCCATGTGCAGGTGGGTGATGGTGCTGGGAGGGCTCCAACCCAACCCAAACACCCCATGGTCCCACTGCGGACCCCATGATCCCATCACCCATCCCATGGTCCCACCACCACCCCATGGTCCCACCACCCATCCCATGGTCCCATCATCACCCATCCCATGGTCCCACCACCACCCCATGGTCCCATCACCACCCCATGGTCCCACCACCCATCCCATGGTCCCAGCACCCATCCCATGGTCCCACCACCCATCCCATGGTCCCACTGCGGACCCCATGATCCCATCACCCATCCCATGGTCCCACCACCACCCCATGGTCCCACCACCCATCCCATGGTCCCACTGCGGACCCCATGATCCCATCACCCATCCCATGGTCCCACCACCACCCCATGGTCCCACCACCCATCCCATGGTCCCATCATCACCCATCCCATGGTCCCACTGCGGACCCCATGGTCCCACCACCCATCCCGTGGTCCCATCAGACATCCCATGATCCCACCACCGCCCCATGGTCCCAGCACCCACCCCATGGTCCCACCACTGACCCCAAAACCCACCCCAAATCAACCCAACCAACCCAACCCATCCCAACCCACCCCATCCCATGCCAACCCAACCATGTCATGGTCCCAGCACCTACTCCATGGTCCAACTGCTGACCCAACCCCATGTCCAGGCGATGGCGCTGGGAAGGCTCCAACCCAAGACAACCCAACTCAACCCAACCATGGTCCTACCACCATCCCATGACCCCATCACTGACCCCACGGTCCCACCACTGACCCCATGGTCCCACCACCATCTCATGACCCCACACCCCCCTGGTGCCCAGGTGATGCGCTGGGAGGGCTCCAACCCGTCCCAACCCAACCCATGCCATGGTCCCACCACCATCCCATGACCCATCATCCACCCCATGGTCCCACCACTGATCTCATGACCCCATGATCCCACCATCCACCCCACGGTCCCATCACCATCTCATGGTCCCACCATCCACCCCATGGTCCCATCACCATCTCATGGTCCGTCCTCGTGCACAGGTGATGCGCTGGGAGGGCGCCAACCCAACCCAACCCAACGCAACCCAACCCAACTCATCCCATCCCATGGTCCCACCATCATCCCATGATTTCACCACCCATGCCATGGTCCCACCACCCATCCCCTGACCCCACCACTGATCCCCTGACCCCACCACTGATCCCCTGACCCCACCACCATCTCATGACCCCACCACCATCTCATGACCCCCCCACCACACCCAGGCGATGCGCTGGGAGGGCTCCAACCCAACCAAACCCAACCAACCCAACTCAACTCAACCCAACCTAACCCAACCCAACCATGCCATGGTCCCACCACCATCCCATGACCCATCATCCATCCCATGGTCCCACCACTGACTCTACCATGTCCAGGTGATGCCCTGGGGGCATTCCAACCCAACCTGACCCAACCCAACCCAACCCAATGAACCCACCCCATGGTCCCACCACTGGTCTCATGACCCCATTGTCCCACCACCCATCCCATCGTTCCACCAGCCATCCCATGGTCCCACCACCCATCCCATTGTTCCACCACCCACCCCATGACCCCACCGCCATCTCATGGTCCCCCCTGGTGCCCAGGTGATGCGCTGGGAGGGCTCCAACCCAACCCAAACCAATCCAATCCAATCCAACCACCCCATGGTCCCACCAACCACCCCATGGTCCCACCACTGATCTCATGACCCCACCCACATCCAGGTGATGCATTGGGAGGGCTCCAACCCAACCTTTTTTTTCCTAATAGAGCCAAAAAGATTCCTCTGCTTCTAATACTCTTTGTGAATAAAAACAGCTATCTACCTCTGTCCCTATGTTTCAGATGAGCTAAGAAAAACCAAAAGCTCTTTTTCTGTTTCATCTTTACTGACAGAAAAAAACTATCTTTAACAAAAAAATTTTCATTATCTCACTCTGTCTGAAGTGCCAGGTAAGATACAGATGGGAATTCAATGTTCAGCTTGCTCACCAGTCAAGGGTCACAATTTATGGTTTTCTCCTTCTCTTTATGAGTGGTTCTAAAGCTGTTGAATGAAATTCCCCAGCTACATCAGCATTGGTATGAAAAAAAAATACCAAAAGAAAGTTTCCACAAAATAACAAACACATCTCTTTTCTCAAACCATACTTCCCTGACTATATGCAGCCAACACAGAAATAACATAAAAACTTATTTCAAGTTAATAAGAACTTTGACAATTTTATTGGCTTCCACATAGCAGCAAGTCTAAAGGATGTAACTGCAGAAAATCCCAAGACTTCTGTGAAAAAAGGGGGGGATGATTTTGTTAGAAGTGTTAATGCACACCTTACCTGCTTTCATGAGTGCTTGCATTCTTAAAAAACAAGATTACAAAGGCTAGATATGCCTAGATAAAAATCCCAGCTGGCAAAGTCTACACTTGCAGCCTCAAACCAACACACAGGAATCCAACTGAGCACTGCATTTGATTTACTGCACGAGATTGAGAACATATCTTAATACAAATCCCTGCCAATATTATATTCCTTGCAATAGCATATTTCATACTCTTTTTCCAAATCTAATTTTTAAAGACTTACATAATCCTTCAACTTCCTTTTGGATATTAGCCTCTGTTCTGCTGCTTTTATTGGCTATTCAGCCTACACTTAAATATCTCTGTGCCTTACATTAAATATTTTTATCCATCCTCACTGTTTGTACCCTGCAGACATCTGCAGCCTATTGCTTTCTGCTTTGGTCATCATTACTTACTGCATTCTTTAGCCTTTATTTTTTCATTTTTTTCCTCAGATGTTTCCTGACTATTCTGGTCTCTAAGCACTCTCCAAATATTTCTAATCTAGTAGTGAAGAACTGAGCACAATCTTGCTAGCAATCTCCTCAGTCAGTAAGATGAAGTACTTCACTACTGATGTAAAATATTTTTCATAGTCTGTTTGAACTTAAATTCAGCTTACATTACAAACTTAGATACATTTTAGTGTTCATCTTGTTTTAGGAGAGTCTCAGGATTACCATTTTCAACATTTCTGTTACCTTTAACAATGGCAGTGGGAAAGGACAAGGGATAAGAGGAACATCTTGCAGCATAAAATAACATTTTTTACAGAAATGCAGAATTGATTTTCAGCCTCCTTTTGAGTGCCATTAGCACTCTATTGAAGACAACTCAGAGGTATCTTTAGTCCAAGTCCACTTTAAAATGGAGAAGAGACACCTGGCTTATTCCTAGGATAGCTAACACTAAAAGGCAAATAACGGGAACTTCAGGAAGAGCTGTGGCTTATCAGTTCCACAAAAATGCAACCAGTATTTCTAAACCAAATCAAACCTGTCTCCTCTGGAGAGCCTTTGTCATGTGGATTTACTGACCTGTGTTGGAATGGATTTGAGGAGTATTCTTCTGCACAGTCACAGGCTTTTTTATTTCTCCTCACCACTGTTTCTATTTTCAAATGGATTGCAGTATAATTTCTGCAATATAAAGTGGTTTTAAATTTAATTTATTACTTATCTCAGATATGAAGCTACACTTTAAGGAGCAACAGTAATTCATCTCCAGAACTGCAAAGTGAAAGAAGGAATCTCCTAAAGAGTAACTACTTCTAAAAATTGGTCGTAAGGTTTTTATGGTCTGTGCACAGAAAATAAACTGGAATTGGAAATAGATAGGGAATTGTTATTCCATGAGGGGCTACACATAAACTGCCAACCAACTGCTTTTCCTTCACGTGGTTTTGTAAGCATGGTCACCTAGAATCAGTCATGTCATTGCACTGCCCTTCCAGGCTGAACAGGAGAAGCAAGGCCACTTCCCATGCTGCTGTACTGTGAAGGAAACAAATGAATTAGGAGTCCCACTGGATTAGGACTTCCACTCTCGTTTCTGTCTCCTCGCCAGACTGCGCCCCCTGATGTGACTGAAGAGCAGGAGGGAGGAAGGCTCACTTTTGCTATCATGTTTTACAGTTAATGGCTTTGATTTCTAGATCTGTCTGCAGTTTGGTTTTTATTTGTTGGCCGTGAAAGTTTTATTCTGTTCTGTTAGCAGCAGGAAGCGGATGGCTAACTTGTCACTGAAAAAGCCCAGAATAAATCTTGCAGCAGCCACTCGTACACTGCTGCTGAATCAGGGCAGCTCTGCAGGAAGCTGTAATGCATTATTATTGTTTGTATTATTGAGGTGCTCGCTGAACAAGAAGAGCCTCTGACCAACAGAACTCACAATCCAAGGAAAGAGAGGGACTGACAGGACAGCAGCTCGTGTTTCCATGGCCAGATGGATCAACCCAACCACTGCAGAGTTTACGTTATGCTGACAACACTCAAAGTCTGCAGAATCACCTGCATTTTTATATTTTTCACATGCCCATGAAAATACTCACCTGCATTCCTAAAGTGTGTATTTTTCAGTACACAGAGGAAGACAGACTTTGCTAACCGTGTGGCTGTGAAGCAAGAATTACCTCAGTGCAGGCTGGCACACTGGGTGGACAAAAGCTTTTCTTATGGATTTCTTTGCACAGGAAGCCTTATGCTCAAGAGTAAATATATCTCTACATAATATAGCAAGTCAAGGGAAAAACCAGAAACAGCATTACCAAGTATTCAGTTAGATCACTTGATCTCAGGTGAGTGTCATTCCTTAAGTTTCATTTAAAAGAGCTCTTGAATCTGAAAACTCCATTGAGAACAGGAAAACACCATTGTCACATTAAGCCTATGGATAGCAAAGTGCTCACCACCACAGAGAAATATGGGGAATTTAGAAATCAAAACAAATTACTCTGATTTTCTGGAAAGATGCAAATGACTGAACCCACACTGCACACCATCTTACTTGGTAAAGCACCAGCAGATCTACAGAAGCCACGATTTCCTTTGGTTCTATCCTGAAGAAACCAAGGAGTGTATAACTAATAGTCAGATCAGGTGCTGGGGTACAAGAGCTTGAAGCAAATCAGCCTCTTTGCCCTCAAAGACCTCATGGGATTTACTATGCCAAGAAACACTTTCTGCAGTCTCTCTGACAATAAAAAACTGCAACTCAAATTCATTTTTCTTCTCTTAGCTACCTGCCACTGAATTTATAACAGCAGGAGATGGTGCAATCCTTGACATATTGCTGTCTCAAGACTCAGGTCTGCATTAAACATTTTTAGGTTTTCATGTACAGCGTCAGAGCATTACAATTAAAAACCAAACCAAACAAAAAAACTCCATCAGATTCAGTTACTCCAGTACTGCAAAACTAAACAGAGGGGAAAAAATACAGAAATTCATTTTTCAAAGAAAACCAAACACAAAATACCTGATGAAACAAACAAGAATTTCATCAAAAGCAGAACTAATGGAAACCACCGAATTTACAGGAATGAGGGCTGCAATCCCAAAACTGCATGCATGATTTTTACCATGGGTAAACTGCTAAATTAAACTCAGCACCAAGCTTATTCCATGGATTTGGAGGTGTCCAGCTCACACAGGTGCAGAACAGGAGGAAGAGGTGCACGAGGAATTACCAGCATTGCTCTGGCAGCCGTAGAAGTGTCACAGTCAGAGCAGAACCAGCACACCTGCATCCCTGTGACCCCTCTGCAGTCCTCTTGCTTTGGGAGAGGATTTTTATCATGCTTTCAACTTCAAACATCAGTATGATTTTAACAGAAAGAGCTGGGCTCTATTGAGCAGCAGTTGTGTTCATCTTACTAGACTAAAATTCACAGAGGCTGGCACATAAACCAAACTGCTTTTAGAAGTTAGATGTTATGGAGACTGACTGGTAGAATGTACTATATGCTGGTAGCAGCCCATAAAATATGTAAGACAATTTTTAGAACTTTTTTTTTAATTCTATCTCTCTACTGTCTCACAGTGTGCAATATTCCACACTACTACAGCTGACACAATATGCTCAAGTAAACCAGTCTCGCTAGGGCATCAGACAGCCACAGAGATATCCCAGTCAGTCATTTTCCTTCTCCTTGGCACTTCTGAAGAACTGAATGCACTTTTTACCTGCTATTTCCAACAAGTGAGTAAGAAACAGCTTAGGAGCTTCAGGTCAAATTAAGGAAGAAGGTATGCACACACACAGCAGACACATTCCACAATGGTATACAGGTATTACAGCTAACCAACTGGGAACCCAGAATGATTTAGCACAACAGAAGTTCATCATCATTAATGTCTCATGTAATTTAAAGATGTGATTAAAAAGATTTTTTAACGTCCCCGAAGCAAAGATTTATGGCTCAGTGGTTCTGCAGCTGACACATGTGATGACACATCTGTCATTTCTTTCTGATAACCTTCTACGTGATCCTACAGATAAAGAAGCAATCAACTTAGAGAGTTAGACTTCCTCCTGTGACAGGGACCATCCTTTGTCTTGACAATTCAAGCTTTCTGCCTGAACCTTTTAGTCCTTCTGCCTTAACACAATATATAGAGAAAATTCTGTTCCAAGGAAAATATTTAGGTCATTCTTGTGCACAAAAAGCTGAACAGCCGAATGACTGCACTTTTAAAATTTACAGCCAAGTGGTCTGCTTTGCCTTGGGAAGTTCTGGTTCCTTTCCATGCATGCTGCAGAGGGTGAAAAGATACTTAATGGGTTTTAAAAAACTGCAATAATTTAAGCAGTGGTGAGTAATGTGGATGAATTTAATACAGGGAATATACAATTAGCTCTTAGTGGGGAAATCTGTTATTAAACAGAACTATATGAAACAAAAGGTTAGGCCACCAATGTGACTAAGAAAGCAACAAAGAAGCGACAGCACTGGCTATGGAAAATGGAAGAGGACTGATCCAACCAAATACAAATGTTTATATTTG